CCTTCCTTCACCACCCCCATGTGGATGGTCTACAGGGTTCATAACTACTCCTCTTATTACAGGGCGCTTACCTAGCCAACGCTTAGATCCGGCTCTACCCAAACTTTTCTGGTTCACCCCAACATTCCCCACTTGTCCGACTGTTGCTGAGCAGTTTTTGGATATCAAACGGACCTCCCCAGAAGGTAATTTTAATGTGGACGATTTCCCTTCTTTTGCAATCAGTTTCGCTACAGCACCCGCTGCTCTAGCTAATTGTCCACCCTTTCCAAGTGTGATTTCTATGTTATGTATGGCCGTGCCTAAGGGCATATCGGTTGAAGTAGATTCTTCTTTTTTATCAATCAAAACCCCTTCCCAAACTGTACAAGCTTCTTCCAAAGAATACGGCTTTCTGGATGTAGATGGTGATATCTATACAGATKGATCTTATATATATGGTATAATGAAGTACCACATGGGTGGATATATAGGAATCAAAATCTGGCGAATCACTCATGTTATGATCTTCTACATCCTAGGTCTTCCCGTTCCATCATCTGGCTTATGTTCTTCATGTAGCATTCAGACCGAATGACTCTATGAAATTACGTTGATACTTCCACATATTATGGGTAACATAGGAGACATCTCTATTTCCCCCCCCCCCCCCCCCCGGGAATCTTTAGAATTACCACTGCTTAGCTTTCAAGTCGCCTCTGACCATCAAATGAAATGTAGGTTAAATATAAAAATTTTATTTACAAATTAACAAATATATTCATTATATTTTTATTCAATCATTGTTATGTAAATTTTATAATATAAAGTTTTGTATCTCTAATTGGCAGAAAACAAGAAATTGAGGACATGTATGTTTGAGGAGCGCTTCCATGTATCTGTTCGATTTATTCTCGTAAGATTTTTGTTGAGGTATAAAATGTGTATTCACTAAACTTTGAAGAGCGCTCCGAGATATTAAAAAATATAACAAACTTCATCAAAAAAACCCAAAAAAAAATCTCGAAATGAATCAAAAAAATATCTCAAAATTAGTCAAAAAAACTTAAAAAATATCTCAAAATCATAAAATTCGACTAAAACATATCAAACGAATTTACGTAACTTTAATCTACTTCTAAATGTATATTCGGCGGATAAAAATTCTGGATCTTACTCAACCGAATTCATTTGATCCAATCTGTCAGTGTATTGGATTGAGGCTGGCTGCTGGCGGTAATGATGACAAAAAATCAGTCCCGGGCCGGTTTTTATCGATCCCGAGCCTAAATAAATCCCAGTTAAGCTATATTGTAACCGATACGGCTAGTAACAACTATTTTTTTATAAAAAAAATTGGCTGGGCTGGGCCATAACCGATCCCATAAGCAGTCCCGGTTTTCAGTCCTATAACCGGTCCTTACCGGTCCCGGTTCCGGTCATTCGGCGGTCCCGGGCCCAGCTGGGCCGATTTAGCCATCACTAGCCAGCGGCAGACCTGATGGGCCCAATCCACGTGTCCCTGCTCTTTTCTGACGTGGAAAGATCTTCTCGTGACGTGGCCTCTTCTCTATCTGTAACGAACTATCCATCCTTTCACGCACTTCACGAACCACTTTTGTGTGCACTTTTACTCCACGTCATACATGATTCTAACGTCCGCCAATATCACCAACACCTTCACCACATCTTCACCCTTAACTAATTCCACCCTCATCAGATCCAACGGCTTAAATCACTTCTCTATCCCCAGCGTATTTTAGCCTCCACCACTGAGAAAAGTGAAAATATCTACTATCCACTACAATAGAAGACCCAACATAATTGAAGATCTGTTCTCTCTCACACACTCACGCCAAAAACACAAACTCTCCGGCGGAATTAGTCGATACTTACATCCGGTGTTTTATGGGCTGGATTCTAGATTGATTGCAGACGTTGTTTTAGGTGGTTCGGATCGTGCCGAACTTTCGTTTTTTTGGTTCGGTGGAGTTTTCCGAACATCAGGTGGATTTGATTGTTCTATCTCCGTTTTTTGATGAAGATAACATTGTATTTGTTGTAAATTGGAGAAACATCAAGATTCTGTTATTGTTTTGAACTTTTGATTCATTTAGGTATTTGTGTTTCCTGTCCGTTTTAATTTTATGAGAACTGTAGTGGTCTCTTGTTAATAGTGGTAGTAGAATTGGAAAGGGTAGATCTAGATTCTTATGTATGAAAACCAAGAAATTTTGTGCTGTAATGGAAGTTCTCGAAGGTTGAATCTGTTCTGGTAAGTATTCGTTGAATTTGGGCGTTTTGGGTGAATCTTAAGGACAGAGTGAGTCTGATTGATTGATGCGGGAGATGGAGCCAAAGGGAATTTCGTTGGGCAGACGTGGAGGTGGAGGAGTTAATAACGGGAAGACTGGGGATGGGTTTATAGATCGCAGTAAAGTGAGAATTTTACTCTGTGACAATGATTCGAAGGGTTCAGGAGAGGTTTTTACTCTTCTTTGTAAATGCTCCTATCAAGGTATGTAAACTATTCCCTTGTTTATTTTCTCTTTAGTTTTATCTTAATAACTGAATGAAGTAGTTGACTACTTCTATGTAAAGTTGGGAGTTCATTTGAAGTTCTAGATCTAATTACTTTACTAAAATTGTGATTATAGCTTGTTGTTGGTGGTTATTATTGACTTCCGATCTCAACCTCTTAATTGGTTTAGGTAGTAATAAGGTCCTTCTCTTTTGGGCTTTGTTGCTGCAAAGAAATCATTTTTGCTTTAGGGTCCTGGCACCCATACTCAATAATTGAGTTCCTACATCATTCCTATGTTCCCAACCAAATTCATGATATTAGTTCTTTGGATTTAGGTAATCATTTTGCTGTCAACTTGATATTTGAAATATTTTATCCACTTCTTCGTTTAGGATTCAATTTTTTTGGTTTTTTCCCTCAAAATACTTTAGTTGGCAGAAAGTGGTGTAAAAACACAAAAGCTAGCAGACTAGAGTATTATTTTTTTCTGCCGTTTCTGCCAATTGAGTTTTTTGTTGCATTTTAGTCTATATATGGGTTGTTTTAGAAACAAAATGCCACGTGTAACTGTTAAAACGCTAATCACTCTAGAAGATTTGAAGTTCCTTATTTCTATCACACTTCCGTGTTCAGGCATGTGAAGTCTAAAGAGAAAGTTGATATAGGCCTATGAACATTAGAAGGTTCACGAGACTTGAAATTTTAAATCTTATGGGATTGTTCTGGTAACTATGAGATGGTTTTGCCAAAAAAATTTGGATAGAGGGAACAATTACAATGATATATTGGGGTAGAGGGAGTAATTACGAAAAGAAATAATAATCCCTCCCATTTCAACTTGTACAGTCCTGTATGCTGTTATGTGAATATGGTTTGTGCTTTACAGTGATTTCAGTGAAATCGCCCAGGCAAGTGATTGATGCCTTAAATGCTGACGGACCCAACATAGATCTCATTCTTTCTGAAGTTGACCTTCCTATGGCCAAAGGCTTGAAGATGCTAAAGTACATCATGAGAAAAGAGTTGCAACGCATTCCTGTCATTAGTAAGCTTGGTGTTGAATTTGTTTTTAACCATTCAATTTTCTCATGTTTGATTTCCTTTTCCATGTTTCTTGAGAACAGACATCATTATTTTTATCGTTTGTTCTTTTCTCAGTGATGTCTGCACAGGATGAAGTAACCTTTGTGGTCAAGTGCTTGAGACTTGGAGCAGCTGATTATCTTGTGAAGCCTTTGCGGACAAATGAGCTCTTGAATTTGTGGACACATGTGTGGAGGAGAAGGCGAATGGTATGTAGGGCTTGACTTCCTCAACTCCATACATAAGCCACATCACTCCTTCCACCCTATAAAAAGCACCCCAAATAGGTGCATTTATACAACCATTTTAGAATCTGTGTAGTGAGTTACAAGTTAGAACCTGTTCTCTCCCGGTGGGTACAATATGTACTCCGATATGGAAAATTTTGCCTTCTTGATGGTTGTCCTCACATAAGTGAACTGTAAAACGAACCATGCGATTAGATGTAATTTAAATCCAGGACCATGTGCTTCACATTAATGAATTTTATCTTCTGTTCTGGCTGTTATTATCTTGTACGGTTTGTTATTGCATCTATACCTGTTAGATCATTCAGAAGTCTTACTAACGGATCCTTCTGTCATTGCTCTAAGTTGTTATATTGCTAGTTTTTATTGCCCTATTAACTTTGATTTTTACAGCTTGGCTTGGCTGAGAAGAAGATCATGATTTGTGAATTTGATCTGGTACCGTCAGACCTTAGTGATGTTAACACAAACAGTACCATGTTTTCAGATGATACGGATGAAAAGTCGCGGAAGAGTGCCCATCCGGAGATGTCTGTTTCAACCCATTGGAGAGATGAGGTGAAACTCATCTGCATAAAAATTGGTTACTCAATTACATATAGATTGTCAAGTTACATGGGTTCTGCATGCATACATTCACTTACATTTAGGTAAGGTAGATGTTGTTCCTGGTGAACAAGTTTTTACCTGAAGTCTGAGAATTACTCCCTCTGTCACAACATTAAGCGTCCAAATTTCTATTTTAGTTTGTCCAAAATAAGTTTCCATTTTCAAAAGTAAGTGCCTACTTTCCAATTCCATCCTTAATTATGAGATGGAAAAATTCATTACCCCTCTATTATTAAGGGTAAAATTGTCGTTTAGTTAACAAAAAACGTAATAACTACATATTCCTAAAACTTTGTGGCTTTTTCATTGTTGGGACGGAGGGGGCATAATTTTTGTTAGCAATATGAAAATATATAAAGATAAAATGAGTAATGACTAGAAAGTGATTTATGAACTTCAACATTATTTGAACTGAATACTTAAAGTCTCTCCATGACTGGTTAATGCCTTGCATACTTTGCATACTCCTCAGCACTCAGGTTTTCTATAACTGCAATGTGTATATTATTGAAACTTGAACTTGGATGCATGGACCATGGATAATTTAAACCAATTTATGATAAAGTCAATAGTTCCCCTTTCTTGCCAGCTTTAGTAATTTGGCTTGCTAATCATGCTTGTTCCTTTTCAGATTAATGTGATGTTAGCTCCTGGTTCTGCAGATACACAACTTGTTAGATTATCAAATGCCCGATCTAATGTGCCGGAAACCAATGACCATCTACGAGGTGAACATATCCTCCAATGCAGATTATCTTTATCATTAGCATGCTTTGTTGTTCTATTATCTCTAAAACATAGTAAAGCAACTAGTTGTAATCTTTTGAGAAACTTCTACGATAATGACCCATATGATTAGATGTAATCCAAATTTTCTTTACCATTAGGGTGCTTTGTTTCCATGATCATGAAAACATAGTATACCAACTGTAATATCTAATACCGATAACTTTTATGAAAAGGATCATTTAGTTAGATGTAGGTAACCCAAATTCTCCTTTATGATCGGGGTGCTTTCTGTAAATGATCTTTGAAAAAGAAAGTAAACCCAGTTAACGGTGTCAATCCTATGGAGAACTTCTATTATAAGGAGCCATTCGAGATGTACGCAGGTCCTCTCATCCCTGCTCTAATTCTTAATCTGATGCCCTCAATATTTAGAAAAATGCTGTAAAGTAGGATCAATACTGTATAGCTTCTGATTTAACTTTGAACCATACAATTTTAATATAAATCTGGATCTGAAGAAGTTTGAACATATTTGATTTCTCATTGCTTCTAATTCAGAATCATCATTTTCTCATCCAAATTGATTTTGGAAATTAGGAGTGGTTATAAGAACAGATTTCTAGCTTGCTATTTTGAACTCCATGCATTTGAATTGATGATCTTTCACAAAGATGCCACTCTAGTGTAGTAATAGTTGGGCCACTGGTCAGGGCCGTGCCTGAGGGTGTTCCAATGTGAGATGTGGAGCAGGTCCCGAAATTTTGGGACCCAATTATACATTTTTTAGCCTTTAGCCAATTATGTATGTTTTAACCTTTAGCCTAATTATGTTTTAGGCTTTTGTGCTTTTAGCCGATTTGGTGATTTCCGGTTCCGCTTTTCGAAGAATGTTAGAAGAATGATCCTACTTAAGTGAATTTCATATGTTACTTTGTCATTTTAAAACATTGTTTTAATTTGGAAGACGTTTAATATAAATATATAATATATGGTATGAACTTTTATATTTTGTTTTATTTATTACTCGGTCGAGTTGTAGTCTTGGTACAAGTGTAACAGGGCCTCCAAAAAGATTGAAACACATGTGCCTTACGTTTCCTTTGTTTTCAGGGGAATTTATATCTGCTCCAAAGAAGAGCGAACTGAAGATAGGTCAGTCTTCAGCATTTTTTACGTATGTCAAATCAAGCATGTCCATGAGAACTGCTCCACATGTTTCTGTCTCCGTTAGTGAAACTGCTCCACCATCAAGAATTCACAAAGAACCAGGTGCCCATGCTGGAGAAGTGGACGGTCTAGCTACCAGCCTTACTGATCAAAATGTTCAGCAGCACTTATGCATTGAGAAACATGGTGTTGGTAATTCTCGAGGACATTATCACTCACAAACTTTGGAAAATCTTCCGCGCATAGATGACGGTCCTAGCAGTAACAGCTTCCCTGATTCTCTGTCATTGGACGAGTCTTCTACTCCCCCGTTACCAACAGAATGCTCTCCACAAATGAACTCAAAGATGGAAGAGTTCCCCAAAGAACAAATGCAACAATTGAGGAATAACTCTCACTCTCATCCTAATATTTCAGGTTATAATCCACTTCCTCCTTACCCTTATTACCTTCAGGGAGCAATTAATCAGGTTATGATGTCATCATCCTCCATGGTGCATAACCATGGTAATACAGCTATGTTGCCTCAATATAATCATGGTCCACCACATTACCCTCCTCATCACATGACATCATTCCCTTACTACCCTGTTAATCTTTGTCTACGACCTGGCCTAATGGGTCCCACAGTTCACCCATGGTCTTCATATGGAAGTTCATCATCCAATGAAGGAAAGTTGAAAACGGTTGACCGCAGAGAGGCAGCCTTGCTCAAGTTCAGGCAGAAGAGGAAAGAGCGTTGCTTTGACAAGAAAATTCGGTACGTTAATAGGAAAAAGTTAGCCGAGAGACGGCCTCGTATCAGGGGCCAATTCGTTAGGAAAGTAAATGGGATAAATGTGGATCTCAACGGGCATCCCACTTCTGTTGATTTTGATGACGAGAACGAAGATGAGGAAGAAGACCAAACATGCAGAGATTATTCTCCTGAATGATTATATTCCGTCTTCCATGGCTGAGGTTTTGTGATTGACTGAAATGATTCAACACTACGAGGGTAAAGAACACACCATTTCAGACATTTGTCGGGTTACAACAACAAACAGTCTTATTGATCCTGCTTTCAGACTTCTGCACCACCTAAGAAGTGAAATAAGACTTCAGAGTTTAGTACCTCTTTAACAGACAACACCATGTTGCTTGTTTCTCTGTGCTTTTGAGCAACTTCACCTTTAATGGGCTTCATCTCATCTAGGACAAAATCTGATGCAAATATGTCCATTTAAAACAGCTTTGTAATTAAAGTAAAGGAGATTGTGATTTTGAGGTATTATCATAATCACATGGAGCTGTTTCAGCAAGCATTCTTGATTAAAGCACGTGATGAATCTGAGGAAATCGGCATTCCTGCATTTGTATCGTAATACAGTTTCAACCAGCAAAAAATGCAGCCACAAATGGTAAATTACAAGCATCTTGTCATGAAGCTACCATAAAGAATTTAGCCAAGAAATCTGTTCCGGTAGTTCCATTCATCACATGGTTACTGGTTTATCGGAGAATGATCAATTATCCTTGAGTGACAGTGGGGTAATTGTTGATCAACTATACTCTCGGAATCTCTCTTTTTTACATGTTCAGCGGTGGTTTTCTGGGCCGTCTTTTCTTCATCTTCTGTACATATATTTCAAATTAAACGGCAGCTATTCTAGTTTTCTTGTTATCCTGAGGAAATATAAAATTTGTGCCACCAGTTCTCAAGGTACAACAAAATCTAGTTCTTTTCCTCAATGGTTGATGACCTGCTGCAAGTCAATTGGCAATGTTACTTCTTTGTGACAAGCCCTGGGGGTCTTTATGAAACAACCGTTCTACTTTTTTTTTGTGGTAGAGGTCAGACCTGCATACATCTCACCCCATTGGTTTGGTTTGGTTTGGTTTGGTTTGTTTTCGTTCTTTGTGACCAGAAAATGATGCCATTTAAGTCACTGGAAAATGCAAGCGATTTGTACTTCTGGTGGCTTGCTGTCATTTCTGGAACATCGTTTGCCAGAGACTTGGCATGTCACTGTTCTGCTTTCCGTTTATCGGACAAGGTACATTTCTTAAAATAATTCTTCCAAGCCCTATTGACTGCAACAGTATCTAGATTCCAGTGTCATTCCTTTGTCTCGGGGTCTCGAATATCAGTCAGTAGTACCATCTATGTCAAATGAACAATGAGCCTAGGCTCTTACAGCTATGAATGACCCATAACTAGCATCGGCCATGGCTCACTTGTTCTGGTGTGCGTTTGGTATTAGGATATTGACAAAAAACTACTTGTCCAACATTTGGTGCTACTTTTAGATTGGGACCAAAATAGGCTGAACAAATACGAAAAGATTGATAAATCTAAACTAAACTACCCATGTCAAATGAAAATCCTAAAACCTTGTACATCGCTATCAAATAATGGGACAATCCTAAGGGTGGGCAGCCCCAGGCCGAATGATGTTATTATTAATAAAAATACTTCAATGCGGTAACGACTGGAATTGAATTCCTAACCACACATCTATCATTGTGTATTGGCATTCTTTTTTCTCTCATTTTAACTTTATTACTTCTCTTGCTGAATAGTTTTTTACTTCCTTATTTTTCGATTTTTATCTTTCTCTTTTTCATGCCAACACTTACTTATCTGCAATAAACTAAAAATTAGATAAAAATAGTCATATTCAACAATTAATACTCTGTATATGCTTTTATTTTGGAAAACTATGTGATGATATTTGAAAATTTATTACTCTTGTTTTGTGTATCACAAATTAAACCCTAAATGAAATAATTCGGATTACTAGCTAAATTTCAACTCGGAACGGGAAACATCTTATGTGTTATTTTCTAAAATCAAACCATGTATTGAATAAATGAGACTACTACTTAGTTTCAACTATTTTTTGTGATTCTCCATAATCATGACTCTTGAATGTTGTTATTTATTTTGTTTTATATTTCTTGATTCATTGTTGTATCATAATTCTCATTTTTTGTCGCTCATATTTTGGTTGCCGCTTATATAAGATTGCTTAGACTACACAACACTAGCTACTAAGGATGTTTAGACATTTAAAAATATGATACAACTATAGTCTTAAAGTTTCTTAAGTTTTAGGATAAATTGAATATCATATAGGGTTAGTTTGAGCACGACAATGATTGTATGCAAGTCTAAAGTTCAACTTAACTTGATTTTACGTTATGGTGCTATATAATTGTAATCAGTATGGGGATGAGCTGACTAACTTGATTAGGTTTCAAATCTTTTTAAAATAGTATGTTTTTGTAGTTTCTATATATTGCAGACATTATTTAGCCTTCTCGTCCTGTGTATGAAAAACCCAGGACCGGTCATGCAAGATCATGCTCTAGGAAAGGTCTGATGTTGCCATGTATAGTTGCAACTACTTATCTCACATCCTTCAGGTTGCCTCTCCTCGTCACATCGTGAACATATACGCTCTCTATCCTAAATGGATATTGTTGGTCCCGAATAAGATGACAATAAACATAAAGTAATTGTAGAAGGGGGGTTGAATACAATTACACAGACTTTTTTTAACTTTTTAATTCTTATTGATGTATATCAAGAATTAACATATAAAGATACAATAAAGATTGTTGCGGAAGAAAGGAAAGGATAACCTAACCTAAACAATCTTAAAAAGAGAAGAACTTACAAGAACAACACCAAGAGTATTTGAAAGGAAATGAAGAACACACTAAGTTTTTCATCACACACAGGAGAGTAAGGGAGTAGAAGAGGAGAGCTGATTGCCTTGAGAATGCACTTAGAAATCTTTCAAAGGAAGTCAGTAGTATGTATGGGAGATGCACACTGCCTTTTATACTACCTTCAGCATTAAATGCAAGGGGACACTTGTCACCTGAGGATAAGAAGGCAGAGATTGACTTGATCATTGTTGATATCTCATTTTCATCGTACACGACGTGCAAACAACACTGTTCATGCAGAGACAAACTTTTGCAGAGTTATGGTCAGCCTGTAGGGAGATCTTCTTTGGATGGATTAGTAGCTTCAAACAGCTATTCACAAATCTTTGGTGCATGAAGATCTTCCTTCAATCTTCGGTCCATGAAGATCTTCTTTCAATCGGCTTGTAGCGTCAAAATATTTTCAATCTTCATTTCAGCTACTCTGGAGTCTTAGTGTGTATATTAGACAGTTGATCCACGGTACCGCATTAGTGATCTTCTATCTTTGCATCGACTAGACTTCAATTTTGCCAATAGCTTAAGTATGTACCAAGTCACCAATATACAAAGAAACCAATAACTACTAAATGTTGTTAAGGTAGATGAATGAATCAGTGGGTCATCATCAAATTAATAGTTGACCCAACAGATCTTTTACAAAATCCCAGACATCTTTAACATTGATGAGCAGTAAAAATTAAAACAGAGTTTACAATCAACCCTTTAATAATACTGAGCATAGCAAACAAATTGGAGAAAAGTTATTAAACTAGTCTTTTTAATAGGTAAGGAAGGAACCACCAATATAATATTCAAAGAAGAAAACACAACAATGAATTTTGAAACAAGGACTTGGGGGCAAGTTAGGTACTAATACAAGGACACAATGATAATAACAAGAAACTAGTCTCTTTCATATAAAGAAGTGGGTTAGAGATTGATTGTGATTCTTGTATTTTTTTTTTTTTCTTTTTTCCCATCATTTTTGTGATCTACCAAAGCCCAACCCGACTCATTGATGCTAGTAGGGTTCTTGATTTTGCACCTCTGGTTATATATGTTTTAAACCATCGTAACTGATTTCTAGTTATATAACATTTTTTTTTTGAAAGGGTGTCTCAGGCTATGATCAAACTAATCTCGATAAATTGTGACTGCAAGACATTAGCCTTGATAAACTTAGTGGCCACAATTGTTGTGGACGCCAGAAATTTAACCCAAGACAAATTGGATATTCCATTACATCCCCCTATGTCTCTACCACTACTTCATAAACCCTTGTGATTTAGTTATGTAACATTTGTTGTATGGACAAGAGCTTAACATTTCTAGTTATACAACTTAGGGGGAAATTCCACCCAAAGTTGGAGGTTACATATTTGTATTCCTATAGTGTAGTATTTGACTTGACACATAATTTAATAAATCTTATTTTGAAAAGAATAATATACCAGGAACATTAAATGAAAATGTGATGGCACTGAGTTCTTAAGGGGCTCTTGGGAAGATATGAGAGCGTGGGTAGATTGCCGGAAATGTACCTATTGAACCTCACCGATAGACTACATAAATAATACAGAAAAAATAATATAAATAAATAAACGATCCATCGGTATAATATAAACTACAAATAAAATACGAAAATTCTATACAAAACCAAACCTCATTAACATCGTCTGATGAGTAACCCTCGAATTCAGTGAAATTCAATGACTTAAATAACTAATATGAATCGTTGTTATAACCAGCTTTCATAGCTCAGTTGGTTAGAGCACCCGTTTAGTAAGCGGGAGGTCTTGAGTTCGACTCTCAATGAAAGCATCTCCTTGTAAATGGGTTTTTATGAATGACATTAAGCTCAGAGTTTCTAGTTATGTTCAATTTGGTCCTCTAACGTAGGTGATGTAAAGTTCGATGGCAAATATTATCCTAGGAGTTTGTTTGATTAATGCTCAATGGGAGTTGGTTGGTTTTAGGGTTATATAAATTGTAGTTTGTATAAATAGTTTTTTGTTAAAATTTATTAGGAAAAAAAAAGAAACTCATTGTATTAACTTCAATGAAATTACTACATAAGGGGTAACGAATTATCGTTCTATGTAAAGGTAAGTTGGGTTGGGGTGATGTGAATCAACACTAAGGTATTTGTAACTCGTGGCATTCTATCAATTACTAAGGTATGAATATTCTACTTCGTTTCAATACGGGGGTAACCAATTATAATGATTCTCGATTACGTGAAATCTTAATCATTATACACACTTCCAAGATTGGAGGTTATCACGTTGTTATCCGGAATTCTTGTGTTTTATTTGATGTTTGGTTTAATGTTTATTTGAGAACTTCGACCCGTTATCAATATATTTTAAGATCTGTTGCCGGTTTATGATTTGGAACCTTAATGGTTTTAGTGGACTTGCCATCCGATGTTTATATTTATTTGATTATTTCAATTTGAAATTTATTGAATTTAACTTATTAGGCTCAGCACTCGGGGAAGAGTGTTGAGATGCCTCCATGATGGCTAAAATAATCATGGCATTCTCATTAGGGTTAAAGCCAAGCCGAATAAAGAATGTTGATGCATCATTTGAACCGTCATCGGATAGAGACAAATAGCAGTATTACACTGGTTACCGGATAGAGCCGAATATAGATGCCCTCTGGTTACCGAGGACCCGTCTTAAGACTAGTAGGACGGGGGGTGTTACAAATTATGTTCCAATGAGTTGATCTATAAAAAATCTGCAAACAAAAATTTATCGACTTTCCTAAATCTCTTGTATCGATATTTATTTTCAACAAAATTTACAGAAAAACAGATTTCTGTGATCAAGATATCATTCAAAAACCATTGTTCCCAACAGAAAGATTTATTGACTATGATTAAATTGATGATGATAACTCTTAAAAAAGGTCCACAAAACAATAAATGTTAAAAGAGTTAATTATGATCAAATGATAAGTTAACCAAAATGATTCAGAATTAGAATGATCAAAATACTATGAACATAGTTATAAGGTCACATATATGGTACCTAACTAGAGACCATGTGAGATTTACATAGCCATGGAATTTAGGGCCTAAAACTTCTGATCTCTTGTTTGATGTAGTTTCTTTTTGCTCTTTTGAACTCAAGAATTTACTCTGAATCAGAATCCGTAAATGGAATCTGGAAAGCGTTTGATGGTTGCATGTCGGTAAGGGTAGGAGCCAGATCCTGGTTTGCTAGCCTATTTGGGCGTCGCCTTCTCCTTTCTGGTCGGCCATCACCCTGTCGATTACATAAGACGAGCCAAATTAGCAACATGAATTTTTTTGAATTTACATATGCCAAAACTCACAGACACTCGGATCGAACCCTTGACCTCCAAGGAGGTTGGGATCTACGGATAACCCGTCTACTGTTGGGCCAATAGTAGCATGACATGTACCATCCTGGCATTAGTTTTGAAATTAAAATAGAAGTGTGGGCAAGGGCAAACCCGTGTCGCCTAAGGCCATCATCAATTCTTGCACCGAAATGGTGTAAAATTTGGTGTAAACAATATTTCTATTCTATCTCCAACCTATTACACCCATGTTCTAGCACCAACTAGAATATTCTAAGTATATTTCTTATTCATGACTAAAATAAATTTTCAATAATGCCCTTATATATTTATTTGTTGTTCACTATTATGTGTTATTTAAATATCTTTTCCAGTTATATATCTTTGTATTTCCTCATATTGTAATATGGATCAGGTTCGGGGGGGAAAATGCAAGAGAATAAAAAATAAGAAACACCCTGATAACCATTCATTTGTAAGGTATGCACGTATGCATACAAGAAATTTGTAAGTAATTTATCCGGTATTCACATGTGCATAACATGCACACGTGCATAGAAACCAAGAAACAACTTCACTTACTTGTATCTACATGTGCATATCGTAAAGATCAATGGTTACCAGTGCGTTCCTCAGTTTTTCATTTTTTTTGGGGTTTTCCATGAACCTCCCTCTTGTTATATGTATATATACATATATGTGTGTGTGTGTGTGTGTCAATGGTGTGTCTTATGTATCATGAACTAATAAAAATATAACTAAAAATATAATATTAACAAATATTATAACCAAAAGATCATTTACAATCAAATAAACTAAACTTATATAAATCTCAAACTTGAGGTACCATTTCGTAATCAAAATAGTTCAACACCAAATTGGTGTAAAGGTATACAAAGTCTAAAACACCAAATTGTCTTATACTATTCACCAACACCAAAATGGTGTTAGAATTGGTGTTGGGTTGGAATGAAGGTGTGAAAATTGGTTTAAAAATGGCATTTGGTGTTGGGTTGAAGATACCCTAATATACATGAAATAGCTTCATAAAAACAATTACAAGGGGTTGTTTGGTTGGTTTTCCATCAAGTCCTGTATGGTTAAAATTGTTTGTGTGGGTTAATCTGTCTATATAGATTGAGAAGATTTTTGTTTGAACGGGTTTTTTGATAGATGAAAGGAGTGCATTTATTAATTAAGATAGGCATGTTTGAAAAAAACTTGGCTTTCTAAATAAAACTCCCCCTAGAAGCTTAGTGCATAAGTACCTTCTATATCATTAAGTGTTGGTGATTTTAGTATCATCAACCATTTGGTATAGTTGTGATTCACTAGAGATAGATTGAGATGACGAGGCAAACACAAGTAAGGGAGTGCGGAGTGCACACTCACAAATGTTGCCCCTATCACCTTAGATCGCCATAAGGCGGGGATCAAGGGGGTCGCGTCCCCTTACAGGGTTCGAGGGGCAGCGCCCCCCTAGCAGGGTTCCAAGTGGCAGAGCCCTGAGGTTTTTGGAATTTATGAAGAGTCGAACTTAGCGAAAATCTTGCTAAGTACAAGTCTGGACTAGTACAACAAGAGATCAAAGGTCTAACATAGTGAAAACAGACCAAGCGTCTAACTCTGGACCTGCTGCTCAGACTTGATTCTAGACTAAGGGGCTATTTGGTAGTTGCAGAATGATTAAGTAGCTCTCATGATATAGCGCAAAATGAAAAATAACTGTGTGGTAATTGTTTACGATGAAATTATGGCGCTGGATGGTTAAGGGAGGCCCAAGATGCAAAATCATTCAGAGGGTTTTAGAACCATATAGAGGCAGATTTTTTTTTTGCCAAACAAGATTCACCTCTTAACGATTCAGAGGTTGCCTCTTAATGAAATTATTAAGAGGTAAACAAACAACCCCTAAGTCCTAAGTTTGGACTAATGGGTTCAGAGATCTGGACATGTTCATCAGACTTGTTCCAGACTTGGTCCTAACTCTGGACTAATGAAGTCAGACTTAGACTCGAACTCTGATTAAGTTACAACTGCTCTTCGATCTTATCCATTAACGGTTATTACCGTTTAACAGCCATAACTGTCGATCTCTTATAAATACATAATTCGTTTTATCTGAAACATATATATATATATATATATATATGAGATCAGTGTCTTATTTCGTGTATGATTTTCTAGATTATTCCGATACTGATTTCGTGTAAGCCTACGGCATAATAAGGGCAAAATACAGTATTTGGAAAGTGATTTCCAAACACGATCTAGAAAAATATCCAAGTAATTTCGACCACAGATTCCAATTGCCCTCAACATCAAGCCACCAAACAGTCATGTATAGCTGACCGAACATGCCACGAGTCTTATTAAGCTCATTAAGCTGCTAAAAGACAGGCCCTTAGTGCAAAAGCAAGAGAGGTTGGTAAATATATCATCGCTTACCGCAGATTTTGGCTGGTTTGAATTATTAGCCTCCTTCGATTTAATCAGCTGATTCCTCCGGAGATAAATGAAGCCAAATGACATTAATGCACCCAAAAGCAACATTGGACCAAGCCTTGGATCACTCATAAGATCACTGATTCTTTCAGGAATGGTTCCAAGCTTCTGTTTCATTCCCCTGCTTGACGAAAGAATTTGCTCTCTACCTCTTGACCAAATAGGATCTGCATCCTCGGGTACCAGCTCAGGAGTTGACGTTCTCTGAATCAAAATCAAGGATTATAATTTACATCTGAACCACGTCAAGCTCGATGTACTAGTTTACCTACTGCTATCAGCTAGTTTACCAAACGACTAATGGTGCTGATCAAGCATACACGGTCAGCATTACTGTTTCACTTAGCGGGTCAGCACAAGATGATAAAGGTAATTTATGTAGGCACTAACTACAAAACATTTGGTAAACCACCAATTTCAGTCAGCGCTTACCCAGACCGCACTCTTACCTGGTCAGTGCTTACCCAATTTCTGTTTGCTAAACAACCCCGGCTCAACCACTTATGTTTATGTTACTGTTAGAAATCTTACATAGATGTTTGACAGAAAAAAAAAAGTACAGGAGTTTGTTCATGGAAACTCACATGAAAGGGGAGATCTCTGGAGTCACCGTCCCTGACCGTTTCAGAGATCCATTTTATTATCTGGAACAAAATATACGACATTTAATTAGAAAACAATAGCCATTAGTATGAATTTGAAATCGTGCGAAAAGATGACTTGCAGTTTCAGTGAGTATTTTAGTATCGGAGACAAATACAAAATCATTTTCATGGATAGATGTTCAAACCTGTGGAATTTCATCTAAACCTTTGTATAGTGCCACCAATTGGGATGTGGGATCGACATCCCTAGAAGCAATTGAAGCGAACATGTTTATCGAGTTATTGTCAACTTTCTTATTCACTTCCGTATCATTCCTTTTGTAACGTACAAGCACTAATCGTGGCACGTCTGCTATATCCCTCCTAGGTCCACATGTATCATAGCTGTCCTCCACATTTACATAGAACAAACAGAACCTCTGTAAAAAGAGAAAAACATGCGTAAAAATACATGAAGAAATTGATGCTAACCAAAAGCATCACTCAAATGAAAAAAAAAACAGAAATTAAACATATATAGCATCGAATGGCTATAATAATTGTCAAAAAGCGACTTATAAAATCATTGTGGAACTTAAAAAGAACTATTAAATAAGAAATTTTACTCTGAAAATCGTTCCAGCAAAGTTTAATCAACTACAAGATCAGTCCTAACAAGAATACACGGTTCACATGTGCATAAGAAGTTGTTGGGTTTACCTTTTGTGCTTCACCATCAACCCAAGCAAATGTCAACCGTTTTTCCTTCAATGCAACTGTGGCTGATGTCGTTCTTTGGTGTTGATCAAGTTGATCTACTTCTCCAGCATTTGATAGTATCTCTTGGACCCTACGCATGGTCTGTGACCATATATATATAATTTATGCTATTAGCTAAACCATGAAGTATTTTATCGTTTCAAGAAAACAAATAATGAACTCTCGTTTCATGAATTAAGCTACATAATCTAGATTGCATCTAAAACTAGTTGGGGTATCTTAAGGAAAAATCTATGGATTTCATGATCATTCAATATAGCAGGAAAAACTAGTTTGAGATGAAACTCACTTCACGCATTTTATGGAGTTCTGCGCTCTGCCTTCCCAAAAGGACAGCACAGTACCAAACCGTGGTGTCGTTGCCAGCACGTGAGTAGCCTTTGGGATCGCAACCTAGCTCCATGGATGTAGCACTTCTTAACTGGGGAAGCACTGAAAAGCAAGGACGAGATATTAAAAGGATGTACATGCTCTATTACTTATTTTTAGAGTTTCAAGCATCAAGGTATTATAAATGTAAGAAATTCTAGTCAGATACTTGAGTACATATGATAAAGTGGATATCTATCCAACAGAAAAGAAAGATATACGATGGGGAAGTATTTTATCATGAATTAAAAATTCATTGTATCGAAGGCGTAGATATGAAAAATACCATGTTATTACTCTCTGAAAGGTATAACTGAATATGAGCAGAAGGCTTGTACATTTATACCATTTAAACAAATATTTTGTTAAAAAAATGGTACTAGTTTATATAGTACACAGCTTAATTCAGTGTCTTCTTATCAATGTAATTAGAAAAATGCAACTTTTAATATGGTGATTTGGGGTTGGGGGAATGCAAACCAATTATGACTTGGATTTGATTGGAAACAGAGATCGAGTGTCGGCATTACTGGATTTTGGCTATAGCCAATAAATACTTGATCTCGTCAGTAAGAAATTGATATATTTATTGTATATTTTGTCTAACATTTAGTCATCTTGAATAACCAATTTATGCTGTTACTTGAGATATATTTAAGCTCATAGCTTTGTAATAGTAGTATGCAAAATGCAGAAAATTTGATAAAAAGTAAAACTTCAAATTGCATAATACATATTATTTTTAAATAAAAATGAAGTGTGCTCAAGTTTTGAGGTATTTAGGTTTAGTGGATAAGAAGTTAGATGATTTAGTAACTATGGGTCGGAGTGGATCAGATATTTTTCTTATTGGCCGGTTTCAGATTAAGAAACAATTTTTTGATATTTTGATTGTGTTTCTTGTTGACCTCGATCTAGATCCAATATACCTGATATGCACCCCTGAAATCTGTCAGAAAATGCTAATCACGGTTTATGCATAACTAGAAAATAGACGTATTCATGACGAGAATAATGTTGCTGTGGATGTTTCTGCCACAGAATCCTTGGAAAGGGATTTCCCTACCTTGATGTTTATTCTGTTCCATGATCTCGATGAGTCTTGAATTGTTAATTGATCCTGCAAATCAATAAGGGATGCCTTAGATTTTATAGCGCAAATGTATCTGACAAATGATGTTTTAGCAGCTATGGGGATTGGGAAAGATGAAATTGAAAAAGATAAGGAGAGTTACATGCCATGGTACACTACAGGTTTGACGCCAGGATCTCTCAGAATAATAATCGCGGGAGCTTCTTCCACCCCAAACCTATTTCAAGGACAAGATTTCAGTCTTTATGGAAGAAAAGCAGGTAGCTAAACTTTACTCGGTGGACCTGGAATTATACAGGATGACCGCATGCAGTTCACGTAAATAATGAAAATCTATAACGAACAAGATATAATTATATTCTCATGCAACTAAAAGATAAAACTTTTATCAGATCATTAGACATGAGGCTGCTAAAAGAACAGATTGAATTTGTCTGAAAATTTGGAGCATATCCTCTCTGACTTGCCGGTCGGAATCTAAATCTAAAAGTTTGTGGGCTTTTCGGTTGTCTTGATAAGATCCTTTGAGACAAAAGGGTTGACATCTCGTAGACATACATGATGCAAGTTAGATAACTTGGGGAGGAGTCAAACTCATAAAAACATTTCTTGATATTTAGGATTCGTAATGATCTTAAAATAGCAAAGCAGAAATTGAAAAAGATACGAAAGCAGAATGTGGTTGCCTAATTGAATCTATTCACTTTCATACAAGAGAAAGAGGAAGAAGAAAATTACGTATTTGACCAAAAGACAGATTCCTCTTCTCGCCAAACTGTGAAGGCGAATGAGGCATAAGACCAATAAGTTTTAGCAACTTGGCGCACGAACGGAGTGGCACGCTGTCCTGTTTTTGAAACGAAAATGACTTTGACCTATCACAAATACAATAAAAAAGTTGAGCAAGAACACCAATACATAAAAAAAACTTTGACCCATCACAGATACAATAAAAAAGCTATTAATTTAACATGAAATCAGAGGAAATAACATTTATTCCACGAAGGCTTTTTTCTTGGGGCATCTTAGTTCTTTTATAGCATATAAACTATGAACTTACCTTAGGTTAACTCTCCAACGTCCCAAACAGCTGTCAGCGTAACTAAGTATTCAAGCTAGATATCATGTAACGACCACTACATGTTAGCTTAACCAACCTCGTGTATCCCCTCCTTCGCTTAAAAGTACCACAAAACATCCATGTAGTTGATCCATTCTGTCAGTGGGAGTGAGATTTTTGGCAAAATATACTTGGGGGCATTTGGTTTGATGGAATAGTTTTGAGGGATTTGGATTTTGGGGAAGGATTTGGAATCTTTTGAGTGTTTGGTTTTTAGGATTTGGAATGGAATTGAATAAAATAATTATAAAAATAATTAAACTACCCTTTATTAATTATTTATTACAAAACAAATTTCTTTAACATATTTTAAACCATTATTACATACAAACCCTACGAAATCCCATGAAATACCAACCAACCCCATGGGATTTCAAAATCCTATGTTTGGGAGATTTCAATGAAATAAATCCAATACAATCCACAAACGAAACAGGACCTTGGTGTTTCTTCCATCTCTTGTTTAGATCTATGTCATAGAGATAGATCAACAGTGATATTATATCAGAACTAGGAAAGTGGTGGTATTAATGGTACTCCCTCAATAAGTGTCCATTTTCAAAAGTAAATGTCTACTTCCCCATTCTACCCTTAATTATGAGATGGAGAAAACTTCTCTCTGTATAAGGGTAAAATTGTCCTTCTGTTAATTAAAAAATGTAACAGTTACACATTCCTAAAACTGTGTGCCTTTTTGATTGTGGACATTTATTTTGGGATGGAGCGAGTATAACACAAGGAAAAACAGATTTCAGGTGAGAGAAGTTCAAGAATCAAGGAACCAAAATTTTAATTCAACTCATATCTAATTTTTCTTTGCTCCAAAGTTTTTGTACAGAGATTTCTTTAACTACAATACATTGTCAACAATAAAGAAGCATACCATGCATGTACAATTTTTATTGGATGCAACTAGATTGTTGCTAGCATGTTGGAGACAACTTGCATTCATAATTTGTATCCTTTATATTATATCATGAATAATATGATAATATAACATGTAATCAATCATTGCCAACAACCTCGTGGAAGTTCAAAACAGAAGATAGAGAGTAATCCCACAAAAAAAATATCAAATGTATGCTCAAGCTTTGGGGAGAATTTGTTCAAGTAGTTGACATTAAATAGCTAGAGAAGCAATAATAGAAGCAAAAATTGCAAAATCTCAAGTGCAAAAAAGAATTTAAGTTTTAACTTATTGTGAATGAGAAAGAAACATATTTACCTTATGCCGACTGCCTTTTTCCAAAAAACTTTGTGCCTGTAGTTAGAATGATGTTATTTTTGTCCCCAGCAAGAATGAGTGCTGAAGAAACAACTACTACCAGAATAATATTTAAAGAAATAGTATATAGTGAAAAATGAGAAGGAAATATATTTTGAAGTTCATTAAAAAATACTTAAGTGGAAGACCCCCTTCCCAAGACGAAAAGGAAGTCATGTTCAAACCACCATAACAATGTATAACAGCACTAAATGAACCATCAAATACAATGAAGGTCTCGATTACAAAACCAAAGATCAACTATGCTAACATAATAGACATGAAATAAGTCCGAACTAAAACCCTTCATTAGAAGGCTGCTCACAGTCATTTATGTCATTGCTTTCATTGGTTATTTGCATGATAAAAAAACAATGTGGCTGGGCCTTATGCTTGGTACAATGGTAGAAATATGCGGTCCGATGCGTTAAGGGTCCCGGAAGCCGATGCATGATGCTGATGCGCTCGCATCACGCACGTGATGCGCCCGGTATTCAAAAAATATTTATAAATTAATTCTACATATCAATTTCTACCTTAAAAATACTTACCTATCAAAATACTTCATTTATAACATAAAGTAGTTAAAAAAGTGGCATTAGAATCTTAAAAAGTTCGTGAATCAGAATAACAGAAGTACATAACACACAAACTACTACCATGAAAAACACAATTACACAAGTAAATGTCTAATAGTCCTAATCCCTAAACTAAATGACCAACCAAGTGACCAACTAATACTCCCCAAATAGACTACTGCTGCTGCTGGACCGCTGGTATTGACTATCGAGTATCGACTACTGCTGTCGGCTTCTAAGTTCTATCGATTAGGTCGCTTTGCTACTCGCTACTCGCTAACAGTCAGTCACTCACGTTCTATCGCTAACAGTCACTCAGGTTCTATTTTACATAACTAAGAAGCCCAACTAAAAAGCCCAAGTAAACACTAAAAAGGGAGCCCAAAACGCAACATACATGATGCGCTGATGCCTAAGTGATGCACGCATCGTGTGATGCGTAGGTGATGCGTTCGCATCATGGAATCGCATCGCATCAAACTCGTTGATGCGTTCTGTCCAGCGCATCAGAGCGCATCACGCATCAGAGCGCATAATGCGCGCATTTTTAAACCAAGCTAACATCACATAACAATACCCACATACTAGCGAATGTAGAGACTTGCAGTGAATATTGCTGATTTTAAAACTATAAAGGTAGCGATTTCAGAAAAATTTGTATATTTTCTGTGTTGCAAGGGGGGGGGGGAGTATGTAGAGACTATTTTAAGCAGACTATGTATCGTGTATATCAGTGCCAATTTATCAAATCATTGTTAACGCTTTCGTTTAGCTGAGATTAAGTAATGCATTATCTTTGGACAGTGCTGATGAATCCTAAACGGTAGCTTTATGTCTTCAAATATATTCCGGATATTCTGCAGGTACAGATTCCAACATTCTTTAACAATACATGTTGGATCAAGTTCTTTTATTTCTTTAACAATGTGACCTTTTCCAATTCAAAAAGGGGTGTTACATCAAGCGTATTAACTACAATGACGGTGCAAAAAGATAACAGGATTGCAGCACGGGTAAACTAATCATAAGTAGATATACTAAAGATATAATTGGACATGGTAAAATGCTAAATAACCATATCTTCACATAATCTTTTGAAACTAGGAGGTGAAACTATTGTCAATTAAATCCCTAAATCCAACCACAATGACATCTTACAGTCAAACTGGTCTTAAAGAATGCAGACTATGTCTATAGAATACTAGGAGAGAACTACTGGAGAAACTTTAAAACAGAAGGCCAATGAAGAGAATAAAATTCACCAGATTGCATGGTGCACTTTGGTTCAAAATTTGGTAGAGAAACTTCTAAATGTATTATACATGTTTATCACTTATATTAACTTCTAAATATATCATATATGTTCATCACTTTCAGATAACATTTCTTAGATATCAGTGAACAAAATTATAACAATGTTTCATCAGAATCAAGATATGACCCAAGGATATAGTTTATAAGAATTACCAAAGACTCCCTAGAGTAGTAAGTAATTCGAGGTAAGCTTAGTATGGTTGTTGCAAACCAGTCCGTAACAGCATCAACAGATAATTCTCCAGTGTACCTAAGACAAAATGCAATAGTATGACCAGGACCTCCTTGAAAAACAATGCATAATTTAGTATTACAATAATACTGTTATTATTATCATCAGTGACTACTTATGACAGCATGGTACAGGTTAAATACTTGCATAAACACTAAACAAACAGGATAAGAAACTTTAAGGGAACTGTTGAGCATACAGCTTTGTACCTCAAAAAGAAAAGAAAACTCACCTAACAACGCAATCCGAAGTTTTACACCCAGGTGGGAAAGCCAGAAGTGAAGGAAGACCTGTATCATATCAAGCAATTGCCAGTGAGAGAACGAATGACCACTAGTTGGTGTCTAATATGGGCACTGATCGACAGAAAAGATAAAAGTATAAACCATCTTCAAGAAGTTGGCTGTTGTACTCGACACGTATATATTTTACCTGTTCCAAGATTATCATATTCCCAAACATGGAGGCCTTAATCAAAGCCCACAAATATCGTAAAATTGCCAACCATAGCTACTGCAACGTACCCAGGCAACAAGAATACAAGAAACAAGCACACGAAAATACATCTGGGCCACTAGGCTCAACTTATTTGAAGCTGTAGATTCTACATTGCAATCAAATGATCAGGCAACAACTCATCACAAGCCAGAAATGAAATAGAGTTTTCTGATTTAGAGGGTGTAATAATAAAGGTTTCATCAATCCTATCTGAGAAATTTATGGTGCACCCAAACATCATCCCATATCAAGATTCAGGAAATGAGGAACTGTTGATATATTCAGAAAAATTACCAACCATTTCGAAAGAAAGGAGCTCCTGTATATCTCTTCTCAGATAGATAAGTTGCAAGCTTAAGATCACCTATCTCAATCATCCCAGTTTGCGCTATACCGTCCAATAAACTAGCTGAACATATACAGGAAGTCAAATGTTAGAATTAATAAGCTTCAAAAATATAAATTTTATTAGAAAAACACAGAGAAAAAGAAAACCAGAAATAAATAGATTGATTCTCCATAATCAAACTCGCAGAAAGCTAAATACAAAATACATATTTTACTGTCTAAGATCTCAATGGCTCGATTGACAAGAACATAAGGATTCTGGCAGCTTGTTATAACAAAAAGGATAAAAAGATCAACGACAATACAAATAGACCTCCACATTATTGATGTCAACAATGTGGTTGTTGCAAATTCTGTTTTTTCCCTCAAAATGATAAACACTGCTTGGGAATCTTTAACTCCCGAATACATCAACTGGTTATAGCAGACAACAGAGAGTAACAGCTTTAGGTCGCACTTAGAGGAATGAAAAGTCCCACAAAACTCATTTCTAAAGAATGTGTTAGATGCAGGACAGTAATATTACCTTCTTTTTCTCGGAGGGGATGAAAAAGCCAAATTCTTAGTTGAGGGGGCATTCAAATGAAACTTTTGGGTATTATCAGGGATGAGGTGGTTAGATCGCATAAAAACATCTTATGGCAGTGGAAGTATGACATTGGCATTTTAACAAAGCTTGGGATGTCAGATAGTCGTGCCATACACTCTCCTGAGATACCAAATGTTAAACTCTATCCAGATGATGTTGTGCTTCTTGATGATCCAGGGAATGAAATAGAAGGCTAGTTAGAAGCTGAACTGTCTCAAAGTCACTTGGCCTGATGCTGTCTTCCTCATAAGTATGGGGAGACCATTCATGTCTTCCCCAATTAATAGACATTCAGATGTTTATTACAGATCCTCTGGTATCTCGGGGGTGCTACCGGACAGTCTTTTGTATGCTTATCAGGATACAAACTCTGGTCACAGGCTGTTGTGATGCCAGTCATGTGGTCTCTATAGCACGAAATTAGCGACAAGGTATTGTGTTTGCCACGAGGGAAATCTTGTGGCTTAAATAAGTAACAAGTGAGCATCGAACTATGGCACGTACAACAGGTAAATCAACAAGGTGTGAAAGTTTGGTACAAAAGTTTAAGGAGTCCATGTCTGGTTTGATGGATGTGTTACGACAATGAAACAACTCTACACGTCCCAAAAAATGAGATACTTAATGAGTGTAACAAGTATATTGAAGTAGACTATCACTTGATTCGTGAGAAGGTGATTGGTACCTCTCATGAACCTCATCCTATCGAGCCCGTTTGGGTGCATAATGGAGACAGGGCAATTAATATTTTGACTAAGGCGTTCGAATAAATAATATTTATGCTGTGTTCTCGAATTTGGAGAGAAAAGAAAAGAAAGGGAGGGAAAAGAAAGGAAAAAATAATAATTTTTTTATTTGTGTTCACGAAAGGGAAGGAAAAGGAAGGAACCAGAAGGAAAGGAAATAATTTTTCATGTTCTTGAATGTGTTCTCGTATTTTGTGAGAAAAGGAAGGAAAAGAAAGGGAGAGAAAAGAATGGACAAGAAATTTTTTTTTTATTTTGTGTTCTCGAAGAGGAAGGAAAGGAAAAGAAATAAATATTTTTCGTGTTCTCGAAAAGGAGAGAAAGGAAAGGAAAGATGTCATATTTACTAATATGTCCTTTAAAAATACATCATTTAGAATGAAAGATATGGTAGTTTTGTAATTTCATTAATTTCTTAAATGATTATAATTTCTTTCCTTACCTTTCCTTCCCTTCCCTCCCACATTTGGGAGGAAAGTTTTGGCAGGAAACTAATCATTATTTTCCTTCCCTTTCCTTTCCTTTCTCTCCTAAAAAATTTCCGAGAAACATGAGGCTTTTTTCATTTTCCTCACCTTTCCCTTCCCTTCCTTCCCTTTCCTTCATAAAATGAGTTTTGAGAATGCAGCCGACGAGGAGAGAAAGGAAGGGAAAGATATCGTTTTTACTAATATACCCTTCAAAAAATATATTCTGTATATTCTGTAATATGAAAGATTGGGTAATTTTGTAATTTTAATAATTTTTTAAAGAGTTATCATTTCTTTTCTTTTCTTTTCTTTCCTTTCCTTCCCTTTCCTCCCACATTTGGGAGGAAACTTATCATTCTTTTCCCTCCCTTTCCCCTTCCTTTCTCTCCTAAAAAAGTTTCAAGAACACGAGTTTTTTTTTACTTCCCTCCCCTTTCCCTCAGTTTCCTTCCCTTTCCTTCATAAAAAGGGTTTCGAGAACACAGCGAAAATAGAAAGTGAACACTAATTTCCTCATCTATATCAAGTACAGTTTTTAGATGCAACACTTTTCAAGGAAACTTCAACATAATGTCTTAATTCATGTGAACATTAACTCACTGCAATCACTAATCTGTTAGAAGATATATGGAAATTTTTTATGCTATTCGATCAAGGTCGTGGTGAGTGGTGACCATCGTATCCTTCGTGAATGGAAAATAAATGGTATGTATTCAAAAAGAACATGAGACACCAGCTAAAGCATAATCACTGAAGTACAGCAACCCGAAACAAAAATCTTCACCAAAATTGTCAGATAGATGGAAGAATCCAGTTTTACTTGTGTTCTCCTGTACAAATGTGCATTTGCGCTATTTATTCTAATAAGAAATTAAGTTCATACTGCAAATCTCAAATCCAAGGCAGGAAATAAGCTGGAAAAACAGGAAGTTCCGAAACTGCAATTTTGTGGGATTTAGCTTGATGAATGGCAATTCAAGGTTAGGAAGACGCAAAGAGACATAACTTCTCTCTAGAAGTAAAGTAACTTGAAATGTCAAAGAGAGGAAGTGGGGCCAGAAAGAATAATTTTCAGGAAGTTTTAGATATTCTAACTATATTTCATTTTATATTTAATTGACACAATTTTATTATGTGAAGGCAAGAACTAAATCTACAAAATTATAAAATCCATACCAATCTGTTTCCAAGGACTAGAAAATTGGGCACAGCGGCTGCTCCCATTTGAGAAAACCTGAAACCAACTATCAAAATATCATTACAGAGAGAACGGAGCAGAAACCCACTAGAAAACAAATTGTGAAAGTGGACTGAATAAAAATAGGGAAAAGCATCAGCGACTCAAGTATGAACCAAGACTATTAAGACAATAACAAATGGATCAAAAGCAAACTATCATCATCCAAAGCAATGAACTATTAACCCTCCTATAACATCAAGCATAATTGCACTTGCCGAATAGTGCTCATACAGACAAAAAAAAACTGGAAGCTTGTTACCACCTGTCAACTTTACAACCAGATGTAACTGAAAGACTTTCTTTACTTGTGCATATTGACTCATGGAATGATTTGTTGTCTACATTACAATGTTAAGTTCATATGAACCCTTTGTATATTAAAAAACAAAATGGAAAAAAAAATATAATATTCAGTTAAAGAGTAAAAAGAAAATTACACCATAATGCATGGGGAGTTTAGCAGTGAAGTTAGATTTCCTGATTCATCCCAAACAATGGATGTATCACTACAAATAGCAATATGAAGGGGTAAGGTATCATCAATATTTTTGTCTTCCTGCACCCATGTTGAAATGATGAGAAGGTGAAAGATCACCGTTGAGGATCTGAATGACCCACATTGGATGAGGATCACATCGGAAAAGATTATGAAGAACAATGAACAGACACATAGCTGATAGATGTCTAACGATGTGAACAATAGGGCAGATATCAATATTTATTTAAAACAATTGCACAAACCTGAACAAGCAATGTGCTGCTGTTTTGTAGCTTAGAAATATAGTTCTCCGATGAAATGACATCAAAAGCCTGATCTGATTCTGAGACAAAATATAAGAATCAACAAATAAACGCATTGGCACACATGGTTGTTTCACAAAGAAAACTCAATGTAGTTTAGTCCAAAGAAGCAAAATTAGGATAGCAAACCAAATGAAGTAGGCTCCAGCAATGGAAGATGAATGTCAGCAAACTCTGCGCTAGAGTATTTCTCCTTGATTCTTTCCATTACATGCTACAACCAACAACGTTGTTAGCCATGCAACTAGACAAAGATGGCATAATATAGAAACTAAAAAAGAAATTGGAAATCTGGCGAAGCTTAAAAATGTCATAAGCTACTCACAAGATGTTCATCAAGGCCAAATATGTCATAATCCCTTTTCCATACAGGATTGCTCAGAACTTCAAAAGCATACTGAATCTGCAATGCAACCGAGTCACCAACAGTCGACTATTAAGGAAAAATTATGTAAGATAACAAGATATTAAACCAAACCAAACCAAACAAACCCAGTATATCCCTAACAACTTTCCCGGTGTGGATGTCTACAACTAGAAGCCTACTCTATGCAACTAAACACTCCATGTATGACTTTACAATCTACGCATGATACTATAATTCCTTTCCTAGTGAAGATGGAGCCTACTGCCTAGAAGGCTACGAGATGACAGGCAAGGGAAGGTTACATCTCCGGCGGGGTATACACTTGCATATCTGAAAATTAAAATCTGTTACAGTTTTTTGTAAAGTAACTTTTTTCAATATTATAGTCCATACCCAGGTTAGAAAACCTGGGTCCATCGCTGGTGATAGTTATGTTACTAAAGAAATCAACTATATGCTATCACAAGATTTAATATTTCCTCTCCTTTTAAATTATTTTTATCATACCAAAACCACCACGAATTATGTCAAAGCCTATATTATTTCTCCCATTCTATGATAATGATCGCAAACTAAATTTACAAACAAAGGATCCAAAAAAACAAAGTGTACAATAAAGGACATAGCATGCTCATAATATTATAAAGATTGGGTTGTGAACAACAAAATAGCTTTCAGATGAAATAAAGAATTGCACAAACCTTAATCATGTCAAGGGTTGAAGAAGGTCCCTTCCCTGTGTTCCTGGAATGTAAAGTTTATCATAAAATTTGCAACAATACTTGTCATATTCTCAGGTAGACAAAATTAATATGGTTACAAGCACAGATGCATATTCGGTGCCACCATCAGAAATAGCAAAGCCATTAAGACAACTTATATGATTATTTTTCACAGTAGCAATTTTTCTTTGCGGCTGTTTCTATCTGAGGGAAGACTGGATGTTCTTCATATTTGTGGGCAAGATGTCAATTCAGGGATGAAGCAAGGAATATGCAGGATGAAGACCTTGGCACCTCAATGGGAATATCTTGAAAGAAAAGACATCCTTTAGAAGATGCAGAGAGTAATAATTAGTAATACTAACCACAAGGGTGGTGGCTGATTGGTTTGAGGTTGGGCTCCAAAGGTCAAAGGTGCCTGGAGGTCCTAGGTTCAAATCCAAGGAGGAATAAAAATCCCCTTGTGGCCACAGAGGTTCAAATGCGGTGACTCTAGGCTACCCGCAAAGCAGGTGGTCTCCCTGGGATTAGTCGGCTCGCATAGCGGGTTGGATATCCAGGTTAATCAAAAATAATAATTAGTAATACTTTGTCAGCTGTTCATCAGTATCGGGAATTAGACCTATGAGTATCTAAAAAGCACTTCAAAAGGTTCAGTGTTGTGTCTTCGTGTCTCCCCAGTTCCACCATAAGTATAATATGAATCCCCTCCCCTAATGAATGATGATGTATGTATTGATCAGAAACAAGGACATACCAACAGATACAGAATCAAACAGAACGAAATGGATATATCTTATTAGAGATTTAGGGGCAGTTCTATGTTTTTCCATTAAGCCCTATATGAATTTAGTTGTAGTGATTAAGTTGTCTGTATGAATTAATATAAGTTCTTATTTGTGTTTTTATTGAATGACGCAAATGATGATTTTAACCTTAACAACACATCATCAATTTTATCTTTTTTTAAACAAAATTTAAAAACTCAACAACATACTACCAAATTTAATAAATATACATAAGAATTTATAAGGCAACAATAAATTTTTTAAATCACATACACAGAATCAAATGTATATTTTAGCCAAAATCAAAAGCAACTTTCATTCTAATTAATTAATTCTTAACTTTTTCGTCAAAAAAAATATGGAAACCGATAAAGGGTGTGCTTTCATTTCTTCTTTCATTTTGAGATGGAGCTGAAAAATTGGAGGGTTTGCAAAAATGAAAGAACAAAGAAGGGGGGGGAGAGGGGAGAAGGTATTTTTGGAAAAAAAATTGGCAGAATGGGTTAAGCCAACATGAATGTGCAGATAGAATTAAGACATGTCTTTAACATTAAGTTGTAATCAAACTCTATATGGTTTAATGAATTAAGCTACAAGTCCATTAAGCTTATAATTAAGTCAAAATCAAACACCCCCTTCGTTTAGTTTAATTAATCATACAAAACAACCTGTGGTTTGTTTGGTAGCACACTGGCATGGTTAAAAATCCTACTGTTAGGCCAAACCAGACCATCGTTTCTAAATATTTATTGGTCTACTGTTACATAGGAAAAGAAAGTCAACCACCCCAAAATGCATTCTGATTATGGCAATGCCATCAAAATTAGAAATTTCAGTGAGGCCCAAGGGTGATTTAGCTTATACGATTAGAGGGCGTATATCGTCAAAGGAAAGAAGAAGAAAAAATGAGTCCCATTTAATGGTTAATTAGCTTAAATTTTCATTCAATACATAATGACTGAAGCTAATTTTGGTTGGTTAATCCAATCAATTCATTGATGGTTGGAAAGTATGATGGTCCTGATGATGATCCTACCATGAAATGGTCGGCAAGTATGGTGGTCCTAATGATGATCCTACCATGAAAGGCGAAGGAAGACTGGGATGCCAACATGCACGAGAACCGAAGATAGAAAAAATTCATCTCAATTTCCATCCATGGTTAACGCTGAGGACTGTTAATTTAACATCCCTTCCTCTGTAACCATTCTTTTTAATGCTTATTTATGCTCACAACAATATTATACTTTGTGTAATCACAACATTTCTATTTCATACTACTGTTCTCTCTTTATAAACTATCTACTACTCTTTCCACTGAAAGAAGATGCACTTGGACTTGTGAAGTCAAATAGGTTATTTCCAACTTAAAAATTGATAAGAATTTGAGAACATTCCAAGCCAAATTTGACGATTACATCCATCAAACTGTATAACACACAAATCAAAGTATATCGAAGGGACTGGAATACTTTACATGAATTTTGCATTTAGAAATTACCAGGTTTGACTCAATCAATCTCCAATTCAGGGATTGGGAGTAAGAACAATACTGTTTAATCTACTCTTCTTCTTTGTTTGCTGGAAACTGAGAAATTAACATTATACAGAAAAAAAACATATCAACAGATTAAAGTTACCACTTAGAAGAGAGCTGTCGGTAGGCCTCGTTCACTTGTTCAATTGAGCCGTAACTCTTGATCCCTAGAACTGAAAATCAAGCCAAAAAACAAGAAATTAAGTAGTAGAATTACAAAAGCTAGTACTTAAGTAGGAATATTGGTGGGAAGAGAAAGGAGTGACCAACCGTCGTAATGAGAAGGAGGGAAAGAACGAGGGATGGCTACAAGCTGGAAGAACATGGAAGCGCAGAATAGGATAGCCGGCAACCAATACGCCATAACTATCGACGGCAAGAGTTCCGATTTCGGCTTTGGGATCTCCGAAGTAGTCGCCATTGGAGACAGAGCAAGGAGTTGGAGTGTTGCAGTGATGGAAGGAAGAATCTGCTTTCTTTTATGATTTATGTGAAATAGTATATATTCATCATTTTATTAAATTACGATTATGATTTTTTATAATGAAATAAATGTTTAAATAAAACATATAAAACAATCAGAGAAGAATATAAATTTATCTAATTATCTTTATATTTAATTTAATAAGGATTAAATACAAGAAATAGCAACTTATTATCATAAATTTTTTTATTATAATATTCTATTTTTGTTTTTCTTTATTACAGCAATGTATTTTCAAATTATTTTTATTAAGGTATCGTATTTTAAAAAATCTACCAATAATAGCAATGGGTAACCTATTACCTTTTAAAGTGGTTAATCTCTTGACTTTTTTTGCTTGTGTGGCTTTAATAAGATGATATGGATGACACATCATTTTGATGACTTAACTAAAATAAAAATCTATTTCAAATTATTATTAGTGATTTTTATTTTTCATTAATATGATCTAAAAAAATTATTTATTTTTTTGACTTTTTCTTATTAAGTTGCATGCAAATTAAATATTCTAGAGTAAAATATTTCTTAAATAAATTTGAAACATTATTTTTGAGATATATTTTGTTTGTAAAATAGATAACACTTCTTATTTTATGTTTTTCAAATAAATGCATATTTTTTAGGGGCTGTTTGTTTTTTAAAAAAAACCTCTTAATACCCTCTGAAGTCTGAATCGGTCAGACCTTAGGTTATTAAGGGTGTTTATTTTTTCTTTCAATTAAGAGCTGAATTTGTGTGTTTTTGTCTGAATCGGTTAGATGTAAAAAAACCTCTGAAAACCTCTTAATTTTGGATTCCCCTACCTCTCGATCTCGATCTCTCTCACGCAATCCACAGCAATCGGTCTCTCCACCCGCCACCACTCCGGCACCACCTCCCACCCTTTCTCCACCACACAAATCTCACCTGATCAATCTCGATCTCGCTCTGATTGCTCTCTTGATCTCGCTCTGATTGCTCTCTCGATCTCACAAATCTCACAAATCCACAGCAACGACCACTTCCTGATCTGTTCGTTGGACAAACCTACCTCTCGATCTCGCTCTGATTGCTCTCTCGAT